CCCGGCGTGCCTCGCTCTCCCCCTCCGTGAAGTGGAGCGAGCAGCCCCCGTCTGCGCCGTTAACTCCGGGTGCTCGTCCAGTGCTCCTGGTGCTCGGGAAGCGGTCGGCGGGGGGCGGCCCCGGGGCCTTCCGGGAGGTGGGGTCGCACCGGCCCGGAGTGATGCCACGCATCTCCCCAGGGGCCGGGCGCCGAGTCCCCGTGCTCCCCCAGAGCAAAAGCCCAGCCGCAGACTCCTGAACACCGAAGGGGTTTCTGGAAACCCACCCCACCGAGCCCCGGAAGCAAAGGGAGCCGTTTGGAGCGCTCTGCTGCGCTCAGGGATGACTCCGGCAGTGCTCTGGGAACCGAGGGGGGTGCTGGAGATCTAAGCCGGGTGGGCCCCCTGCGAGGCGCGCGCCCTACCTGCTGGCCTATCTCTCCAGCCTGAAGGAAAATCTTGTTTGTTTTCCAGGGGGGGCCACACCTGACTCTTAGTGACCACACCTGGTGGTGTTCAGGGGCCCAGATATGGTACTGGCCACAGCCACCTACTAGGCCAGCACCTTGACCTTTGTACTGTGTCTGTCCTGCTCGAAGAAAGAGAATCTTGGACCCATTTCACAGATGAGGAAACAGAGCCACACGGCCGGTGCTTGAAGTGTGGCCATCTGGCCTGAAGTGACAGACAGGCAGGGGCCGGCGGGCATGGCTGAGCGTCTGTTCGGTGCCCTTGCTGGGTCCTGACCTGTGTCCCCCTACCCGCAGTGACTCCACTGGCCCTGGCATGGCGGACCCCGTGGCGGGCATCGCGGGCTCGGCGGCCAAGAGCGTGCGACCCTTCCGCTCCAGCGAGGCCTACGTGGAGGCCATGAAGGAGGACCTGGCCGAGTGGCTCAACGCCTTGTACAGCCTGGGGCTGCCCAGCGGCGGCGAGGGCTTCCTGACGGGGCTGGCCACAGGCACCACCCTCTGCCAGCATGCCAACGCCGTCACCGAGGCTGCCCGCGCGCTGGCCGCGGCCCGCCCGGCCCGGGGGGTGGCCTTCCAGGCCCACAGCGTGGTGCCCGGCTCCTTCATGGCCCGAGACAACGTGGCGAGCTTCATCGGCTGGTGCCGTGGGGAGCTGGGGGTGCCCGAGGTGCTCATGTTCGAGACCGAGGACCTGGTTCTGCGCAAGAACGAGAAGAGCGTGGTGCTGTGCCTGCTGGAGGTGGCGCGGCGCGGGGCCCGCCTGGGCCTGCTGGCCCCCCGCCTCGTGCAGTTCGAGCAGGAGATCGAGCGCGAGTTGCGGGCCACGCCGACCGCCCCCCAGTCCCCCAACGCCGCCGCCGCCACCACTGCCGCCGCCGGGGAGGACCTGGCCGAAACTGCTGGAGCCCCCGGGGCTCCCGCCCGCGGGCCCCGAATGACACCCAGTGACCTACGTAACCTCGATGAGCTGGTGAGTCCTACCAGCGCCCACCGCCGCCCACCTGCGGGGATGCTGTGCCCCGGGAGCCCTCCGCTGCTGCCCTGACTGCTCTGGGCCACCTTCCCACGCTGCCCCTGAAAAGGGGACATCGCCTGCGTGGCAAGGGCATGAGAGGCCTCCCAGGAAGGTCACACAGCCCCCCTGCACCTGGCAGAGGAGAAGGGCCCCATGGCACCATCTCCTCATTTCCCAAAGTGCTGACCGGGCCCCAGGTAAACACTGGGCCTTCTGTCGTGTGTGTGTGTGTGTGTGTGTCTGTGTGTGCGTGTGTGTGCGTGTGTGTGTGTGTCTGTGTGTGTGTCTGTGTGTGCGTGTGTTGGCTCAGAGCCTGCAGGGACCTCCTGCTGCTGCTCCCAAGACCTGTGCGTCCCCGATACTCCCCCAGCCAGGCCCAGAGTTCGTCTTATCACCAGATGAGGACTAGGATGTCCCGATCCCAGAGCGGGGAGCCCGATGGCTGCCCCCACACACGCACCCCCGCACCCCGGGTCAGGGTCACTCCCTCCCTGCGCTGCCTGCTCATTTCAGCGTCTGGCGGCTCCGGGCGGGCGGGGCTGCTCACATCCAGCCTGGCAGCTCCAGGCCTGAAGGCATGTGGCGGCCGCTGGGAGCCAGCAAGGCAGCGGCCCGAGTGTGTCCGAGCACCCCTGCTCCGTGTCTGAGGCGCTGCCGGCCGGCCTTGGCTTTCCCGCCCCTGCGGTGGGTGAAGGGGGACCACAGCCCCCACATCTGCTCAGCAGCCCCGAGAGCCAAAGGGGAAGGAGCCGCAGGGGAGAGGTCAAGTGTGGCGGCCGTCCGAGTGTGGGCAACGCTGCCCAGCCCCCGCTCCCCGGAAGGACTTCCTTCCTCCTGACCCTGGAGCTGCTGACACCAGGTCCCCGAAGCGGGGATGTGAGGGGCAGGGGGTGCAGCTCAGCGCTGAAGCACGTGCCTTGCCTGCGTGAGACCCAGATCGGTCGCCGGCACTGCCAAAGGAATGAATGGAGGGGGTGGGGAGAATCTGACCCTTCACCTCCACTTCTCCACGGTGCGCTCAGGTCAGGGAGATCTTGGGCCGCTGCACCTGCCCGGACCAGTTTCCCATGATCAAGGTCTCGGAGGGGAAGTACCGCGTGGGAGACTCCAGCTTGCTCATCTTTGTGCGGGTAAGCGGGCGGGCGGCCCCACGGGCAGACGGCTCCAGGCCCCAGGCGGGCCGTGACCTGCTCCCTCGGGGCTCCCACAGGTACTTCGGAGCCACGTGATGGTCCGAGTCGGTGGTGGCTGGGACACGCTGGAACACTACCTGGACAAGCACGACCCCTGCCGCTGCTCCTCCTCAGGTCAGGGCGGCCGGCGGCAGGGGTGGGGGGCAGCGGGGAGCGGGTCTCTGCCTCCCCCACCTCACGGCCCACCTGCCTTCTCCCCCCGCAGCCCACCGCCCTTCGAGAGCCAGCACCTTCTCCCCGCAGAGGGTGTCACCCGCCCACAGCCCCCGGGCTGCCAGCCCGGTCCCCGGGAGTGAGCGGCGGGGCTCCCGGCCAGAGGTGGCACCCGTCAGCGCCCGCAGCTCCAAGGAGGGGCCCGAGACCCCACTCAGGTGAGAGGCAGGAGGACTTGGGGGCGAGGGGGCCAGAGGTGGGGGTGTTGGTCTTGGCCCAGATGACAAAGGAGCCTGCGCCCGGCTCCAGGAGTGACTCACATTCTGGGAAAAGTTCCCGTGGGTGGGGGCGGGCCTGACTTCCCGTCTCCATGGCAACGCAGGAACAACACAGCTGGGGCGGGCCCTGGGGCTGGGTGCCGGCCAGTCCAACTCTGCTTCCTCCTGCCTGGCCACCAGGCCTGCATGCCCGGCCCAGGAAACCAGAGGCCCGGGGAAGGGAGTTTAGGGCCCTGGGAGGCCTGGCTGCTTCCTCTGTCTGGGGCTGAGGGGTGCCTGGAGCAGGAAGCTGCTGCCCAGTGTCTCACTTCTCCCTGGAAGTCCCCAGGAAGGACCCCCCTTCCATATGCACACCACAGGTGTCTCCCCACCCTGCCTGACCTCTGCTCGCTCCTCCCCCACACCACGATGCCTCACCTCCCTCTTGTTCCCCTGCCCCAGGCCTCGGGACCAGCTGCCTCCCCCCCATCCCCGTTCCCGCCGGTACTCCGGGGACAGCGACTCCTCGGCCTCCTCAGCTCAGAGTGGGTCCCTTGGTACCCGCAGCGATGACCTGGTCATTGGCCCCCAGAGGGAGCGGCCTGGCCGGCGGCTGACGACCAGCACCCCTGCCTCCCCGAGACGGCCCCCCGCCCCCCGCAGCCAGTCTCGAGACCGGCTGGAACGGGGACGCCCCCGGGGGGTGCCAGGAGGCCGGGGGGCTCGGCCGCCAGCCCCCAGCCCTGCCCGGCGTGCCCGGAGCCAGAGCCGGGACGAGCAGGCCGTGCTGCTGGTGCGGAGAGACCGAGACGGGCAGCATTCCTACGTGCTGGGGAGCAGGGGGGGCTCTGGGAGGAACAGCCCCCAGACCCCTCGTGCCCGCAGCCCCGCAGCCCCCCGGCCTCCCCACGTCTCTGGCCCCAGCCCGGAGCTGGGCCCCACCCCGGCCAGCGTCTTCCGCACACCGCTGCAGCTTGACCCCCAGGAGGAGCAGCAGCTGTTCCAGCGCCTGGAAGAGGAGTTTCTGGCTAACGCCCGGGCCCTGGAGGCCGAAGCTGGCAGGACCCCCGCTGGACCAGCCCCTGAACCCGCGCGGGCCCCAGACCACCCAGCTCCTGACTCGGCTTACTGTTCCTCTAGCTCCTCCTCCTCATCCCTCAGCGTCCTGGTTGGCAAATGTGGCCAACCTGGGGACTCTGGTCGGGTGGCCAATGGGCTCCCCGGGGCTCGAGGCCCAGCCCTGTCCAGTTCTTCTGACGAAGGCAGCCCCGGCCCGGGTGTGGGGGGCCAGCCGGATGCACCTGGGAGCCTCCCGGCCTGCCCGGAACCCCCGAGGACCTGGGCACGAGGCCGGATGGACACACAGCCAGACCGAAAGCCCTCACGCATTCCCACACCTCGGGGCCCCCGACGTCCGTCTGGACCCTTGGAACCAGGGGCCTGGCATGCCCTGCACTCGGTTACCCCAAGGGCCGAGCCAGATTCCTGGATGTGATGGATCTGCCACCAGACCCCCCCCCCCCCCATTTCATCACCTTTTCCTTTGTGGCCTTAACCCCTCTGCATCAGGGAACCGCCCTCCCCCGCTGCCTCTTGGGGACCAGACCTCATGGGACCACTTGCACAATGGGACCTCTGTTGTACATTCCGGTTGCGGGATCAGCGTTGCTATTTAACTAATATTATTGAATGCCTTAGAGGAGGCAGGGCCAGTTCACTGGGGACTCCTGAAGTCCTGTGGCCCTGCAGAGCCTGACAGTAAAGTTTTGTTTCAATCACTTGTGTCTGCTTTTTGGGGACTCAGCATTGGCTTGGGCCCGTCAGAGTTTTGGGGGCCCTCCCTCATCGAATCCACCAGGGCAATCTCTGGAAGCTCAACCTCCAGGATTCACACGGGGCGCCCCAATTGCAGAAATGCCCGAGCACTGGCAACGGTTTCCACTTTATTGCCTCCTGAGAGGTGTGACTTAAAGTTTCTCCAATGAAGCACTAAGAGCAGTCTGAGCATCCAATCAAGTTCACGGCCAAATCCCTTTCATCCAGTAAGATCTTGACCCAGAGGGGTTCAAGGTGACCCAATGAGGTTCCAAGACAGGCCCATCGCCCAGGGGTGGGAACTTCCTTCCTCCAATCAGCACGAGCACGCTCCCATCCAATCCGAGGCAAGTTGGACAGTCTTGTCCAATCCGGCTCCTGGGTTGTATCCGTCCTCTGCCCCGCCCCCACGTGAGCAGCGCGGTCCAATTCGGTCACATGAGGCTGCAGCGCGCGGGGTGCAGCGCCCCCTGCAGGCGCAGGGCCGGGTGTGCAGGGCGCGCGCGCACCAGCGCACAGCGCAGCAGCTCGCGGAAGAGACGAAGCACGTGCCAGTTGTACTTGGCTGAGCACTCGAGGTAGCCGCAGCGCCAGCCTCTGCGCACCAGGGTGGCCAGTGCACGCCGAGGTCCGAAGCGCAGCCGCTGCCGGTCCCGCTTGTTTCCCACCACCAGGATGGGCGCTTCAGGCGCGCCTGCCGGCCTGGGGGGTCCAGATGGAAATGAGGGCCACTGTGCCATGGACCCCAACGCCAGAAAACCCCTCCCCCGGCAGGGATACGGTCCAGAAGCATCCCTCTGGTGGCCGGAGACCCTCAGCAAACACACCCTGGTTTTTGTTCGGTTTGGGGGTCACACCCGGCTCTGCTGGGGGTTACTTCTGGCTCTGCACTCAGGATTACTCAAAGAGACATACTGGATGCCGGGGATCGAGTCTGGTTTGGCCGCCTGCAAAGCAAACGCCTTCCCTGCCGGACTATCACTCCGGCCCAGCAAACACACAACTCCGACCCAAAGACCAGGATCTATCTGGCTGGAGATTTTCCCTCGGACAAAGGCCTGACTCCAAAGGCCCGCGAGCTAAATCACCAAAAACACCCACCTCGGACAGAAGCCCGGCAAACTTTCCCTTCTTTCCTTCTTGCCCACCTTCCCCAGCCCCCCACCCCCACCACCACGCAGCGGCCCCCCACCTGGTCTCCGCGATGCGCTGCCTCAGGGCCTTCACGTAGTCAAAACTGTCCAGGCTGCAGATGTCGTAGACGAGAACGAAGGCGTCGGTGTCCTGCAAGTTCCAGTCCTTCGAGTCTGTCCGTTCCTGCGGGCGGGAGGCCAGGGTTTGCTGGACCTTCCTCCCCCTGCCTGGCGCCCCAATATTCTGCAGGGACCCTGCGGCTCAGATCACGGCCTTAGTTCGCCGGCAGTGACCATCGCATTTCTCGGCCCTCTCCCCGCCAACTTCTGTATCCTCTCGGCTGCCGGGGTGAAAGCTCCCCCAAATGTGCCCGAGGCGGGTCGGCCACCCTGTCGCTCTCGGTGTCCCCGCGGTGCACCCCACCTTCCTCCTGCTTTCAGCTTCCCACTCGGGCCAGGCCCCGCCCCTGCCTCCACGCCCTAGCTGTTTACCTCGGCCTCCGAATTCCAAAGCCCACGCGCTGCTCCTCAGCCCCTGGAGGGCTCGCAGCTGGACTCATTTAGGCCGCCCACCTACGCCTGCACACACGCTCGGCTTGCCCCCGGGATGCGTTTGCCACTTCCTTGCACCAGAACTTCAGGCTTCCAGGTGCCAGGCCAGGCGCCACTCCCTCCAGGAAGCCCTGCGAAATCTCGCCTGCTCTCTCCTCTGAGGCTCTCAGCCCCCTCCGGCTCCACGGGTTAAAAGTCTCTCCTGGATCTGCCCCAAGGAGGCTTTGCACCGTGTCACGAGAATGACACACTGGCTCCGTGGAAGCTCCCCCCGGCCTCTCCCGGGGCGGCCCTGCTCAGAACTCAGGCTGCTTCCCCGTCTCCAAAGGGACGAACCCGCCACGCCACTCCCTCGGCCAGACCCCACAGAGGCTCCGGAGGGGAAAAGCCCCTTTGCAACATCATCCAGTCTCCGCCTGGTGTGGGGCTCGAGGAGGGCAGGACACACACACACACACACACACCCGAAATACACGTTCCGCCTTTCAGCAGGTGAACACGGCCGGACACACACACACACACACACACACACACGTCTGCATGGCGGCGCACACCCGGCCACACGCTGTACAGACACGCACACACAGCCTTCCACGCGGCCACCCGCCGCCTGCCCGCCCCCGGGGCTGCTACCTCCGGCCCTGCCGGGCTCGGACCCGGGCCAGCGCCATCGCCGTCGCGGATGCTCAGGTCGTAGACGGCGCCGTCGAGCAGCACCGCCGGCCGGTAGAGGCACGGTCCATCCGTGGGTCGGTGGCGCTCCGGGTAGTCGCCGAACAGGAACTGGCGGATGATGGCCGTCTTGCCCACGCCCGGGGCGCCCAGCACGGCCACCCGCAGGCTGCCCCCCATGGCCCTCGCGCGCCGCCGCGCCCCGCGCCGGGGAGCCTCATGGGCCGGCGCGCGCCGTGCGCCCCGCGCCCCGCGCCCCGCGCCCCGCGCGCCCTGCCCGGTGCGCCCCGGCCTCGCCGCGCCGCTCGCCCGCCCCGGACGCGCGGGGCCGGGGCGGCCGGGCCCGGAGACAAAGCCGGTGGCGGGAAGGCGGCGCGACCGCCCAGCAGGCCGACGGGGACGGGCCGGCGGGTGCGGCGGGAGCGCAGGGAGAAGCGCCCCGGCGCGCCGCGCGCACGCCCGCCGCCGCCCTGCGGCGCCCAAGCCCGAGCCGCGACCCCCGCGCGCCGCGGGTCCTGCGGCCGATCGCGGCGCGGGGGGCGAGGCTGCGCCCGGCGCGCCCGGCCCTCCGTCCTCCGCTCGCTCGGGCGCCCGGAGTCGCCGCCCCGGCCGGCGGCGCGAGCGAGTGAGCCGAGCCGGCTGGAGGCGGCGATGAGGTAACCGCCCGCCCCCCTCCCAGCCCCCCGCGGCCGGCCCGGGACGCCCCTCCCAGCCGGGGCGCGGAAGGTGCCCAGCCCCCCGCCCTCCGCGGCCGCGGCCCCCTCCCGCGACGCACAGTCCGGTCCTTCCCGCCCACGGCCGCTCCTGCGCGCGGTGCTCCCGCAGCCCGCGCCACGCTCACCCGGCGGGTCGCCTCGGGGCGCCGCGGTGCGACCTTGGGCGAGTCGCGGCGGGGGCTGGCGCCCGGCTCCGCGGCCCGCTCGGGCTGCCGCCGCCCGCCGCGCCTCGCTGCCCTACTACGCGCCTCGGGGCCTCTACCACGCTCTCGCCTACTCAGTGCGGGATGGCATCGCCCGGGCCCCCGTCGCCCGGGCCCCCCAGCCGCCACCTGCTCTCCCGGGGAAAGGAGAGGGACGGAAGCGGAAGGGGAGCCCCCGGGAGGGGATGCGCCCGGCCGGTGAGCTCCTCCGAGGAGCCCCCAACCCGCCATCCCACCTGCCCACGCGGGGACGGGGGAAGGACCCCTCGAATGGCTGTCATGCGGTCATGTGGACGCCAGCCCAGCAGGCGCCGGGTGACAGCAGCTCAGCCCCACGTTCCGGTCCCGGGGGCGTGGAAGGGCCAGAAAAGGGCCAGAAAAGAGCTGGGCCTGACCGCTCCACCTGTAGCTTTCCTCCAAGCCAGGAGCCTCCGCCCCGCACCCCCTCTGCCTGGAGCTGGCACAGCTTGCAAGGGTGGGGGCGTGCTCTCGCCCCTGCTGCCTGCCTCAGAGGAGTGGAGCGCGGGGGTCCCGCCTCCGACCAGATGCTGAGGTGCTGGGGAGCTCAGACATGCGTCTCACACTGCCCTGTCTGTTCACCTAGCATTCCCATTCACTGCTTTTTCTTCGAGGAGCGGGGGAGGGTCGTGGGGTTGGGTTTTGGGAGCCAAACCCAGTCGTGCTTGGGGGGTGGGGGGTCATTCCTGGTGGTTCAGTGGACATGTTGCTGGGCATCAGACTGGGCCAGACTCAAGCAAGGAAGACCCTTAGTAGCTGACTCTCCAGCCTCCCCTGTTTTTCATTGGTTTGTTTAGTTTATGGGCTGCATCTGGCAATATTCAGCATGTACGCCTGGCTCTGTGCTCAGGGAGCACTGTGAGACGGGTCTTGGCAGGTCAGATGCAGTGCCAGGACTGAACTTGGGTTGGCTGTAAGGAAGGCCTTTCCCCCTGTGTTAAGGGGGGACTGGTAAGCTAGTACAGGGGGTAAGTGACTTGCACAGGGTAACTCTGGCTTGATCCCAGCACCACATGTGGTCCTTCCAAACACTGCCAGTGGTGCTCCCTGAGCACAGAATCAGGAGTAAACCCTGAGCACTGCCTGAGGTGGCCCAGTGAACAAAAAGGAAAGAGGGCCAGAGAGGCCGCCCAGAGGGCTGGAGTGAATACTTCTCATGTGGAAGGCTCGGTTCAATACCCTGGCACCAGATGGTCTCCCAAGCACTGTCAGGAGTGACCCTGAGCACTGAGCTGAGAGTGGCCTCTGAGCATTGCTAGCGATGGCCCAGCCCTCTCTCCCCCCGCCAAAAAAATAAATAAATAAAAACAAAGCAAAAGTGTGGCTGGGAAATGGTTAAAGAGCACACGCTCCCCGGGTTCGAGCATTGCTACCACGTGCTCCTTAGGACATCACCAGGAGCAGTCCCTGAGCACTGGCTAGGAGTAGCCACAAGAGACAGAAAGAAAAAGAAACAAGGGAAAAGGATTGTCTTAGGAGAGAAGGATCTACGGGGGCCCGGGACTGCAGGTGTGGAGAGCAATCCCGCCCAGTGGGTGAAGAGAGGGTCACGTATCCAGGCCCAGGGCACTGGATATCCAGTCTGCTCCCAGTCTGGCCACTGAGAGCAGATGGCCAGGCCTGTCTCTCCCTCCAGCAGGTTCCACAGCTTCAAGCCCAGGGAGGCCCACGAGCCTCATCTTCCTGACCTCGCCTGATTTTCCCTCTCACTTTGTCATTGCTCTGCAGTGCCAGGGAGCAAACCCAGGGCCTTGTGCTTCTGAGCCTGTGCTCTGACTCCTGAGCTACACCCTGCCTCCTACCTCTCTCTCCCCCCCCCTTTTTTTTAGGTGGAGGTGCTCAGGAATCACTCCTGAGCTCCATATGGGTTGCTGGGGATCGAACCCAAGTCAGCCACATGCAAGAAAAATGTTCTACCCGTTGTACTATCTCTCCAGCCCCTACCACTCACTGTTTATCTTTTCAGACTCCTGGGTTTGGAAGCTGCCCCAGTTCCTTTCGGGAACATCTCAGAGATATGTGCACTGAGCTTCGCTTCCCTTTGGGTCCTGAGTGGGATGTAGGGATGACATCAGAGAGGGGATGGTCTTCTATAAGACCTTTGGGACCCATTCCCCTGCCTGAAACACCCTCTGTTCTTGCTCCTGCCCACACTTGGGAGCTGGTTCTGAGTGTCTCTGCTCCTTCTCTTCATCTTTTCCTTCCTTCCTTCCTTCCTCCTTCCCGCCCTCCTTCCCTCCCTTCCTCCCTTCCTTCCTTCCTTCCTTCCTCCTTCCCTCCCTCCTTCCCTCCCTCCCTTCCTTCCTTCCTTCCTTCCTTCCTTCCTTCCTTCCTTCCTTCCTTCTTTCCTCCTTCCCTCCCTCCTTCCCTCCCTTCCTCCCTTCCTCCCTTCCTTCCTTCCTTCCTTCCTTCCTTCCTTCCCTCCCTCCCTCCCTATAACCTGGTTTGCCTTTTTTGGGGAGCTGATCATGTTCCCCCATGATTCTCAGTGTATGGTTTGGGATTAATGGAGGACACAGGGCACGGAGGATATCTTAGGGCTGCCACAAAGTCCCACACACCCCTCCTCGTGTACATGTTCCCTGCGCTCAGCGGGACGCAGGGTTGGACATGGTTGTCTAGCAGGAGAGTGGGAATTCAGGACTTTGGTACCCAGAACTTAACTTTCTGAGAGACACAACACCATCTGGGTGCCCTCTGGGGGCCAGAAGAACATACTGGGGAAGTCACTTGCAGCCTGTTGGGGAGAAACTTTCTTGGGGGGGGAGGTCATACCTGGCAGTGTTCAGGGCTTACTCCGGTCTCTGCACTCAGGAATCACTCCTGGTGGGGCTTGGGGACCATACGGGGTGCTGGTATCGAGTCCAGTCGGTTGTGTGCCCTACTCACTGTACTGTTGCTCTGGTCCCTTGGGGAGGAACTTCATTCTTTTCATTCTCTCTCTCTAAATATATGTATGTGATTTGGGGGTCACATCCGGCAGTGCTTGAGAGCACCTCCCAGCTCTGTGCTTAGGGGTTGCCCCTGGAGGTGCTCAGGGAACCATGTCCCAGGAATCAAACAGGGCCTCCGAGGGCTGGAGAAATAGCATAGTCGATAGCCGTACTGACCCAGGTTCGATCCCTGGCACTGCCTAGGTCCCCAAGCACCACCAGGAATGGTCCCTGTGCACAGCGCCAGAAGAAAGTTCTGAGCACAGCCGAATGTAAACAAAACCAAGCAAACAAAACCGAAATAAAACAAAACCGGGCTTCCTTCATGCCCGTGTTTGTTTTGTTTTTGGATCTGACTTTGTGCTCAGGAGTGAGCCCTGGTGGTGTTTGAGGGCCCGTACGTAGTACTGGGGATTTTAACTGGATCAGCTGCATGCAAGAGAAGAAGCGCCTTTGTTATCTTTCTGGCTCCAAGACGTACTATTTTTGGTGGGTACAGGTTTGGGCCACACCCAGCAGTGCTCAGGGGTGATCTGTGGCTCAGTGCTCAGGGATCAGTCCTGGCAGGGCTCGGGGGACCCTGTGCAGTGCCAAGATGGAGCCCTCTACTGGCCCTTGTATCATCTCTCTGGCTCTAGAGTTTGAGGTTTCTTTTCCTTGTCCCTCCCTCCCCCAGGATAGGCAGCCAGCCATGGTCTGCTACTCTGTGCTCCTAGGGTGCCCACCATGTACCCCCACATCTCTCAGCTCCTGCCTCCTAGGCCTTGTAGGGGACACAGATAGATGATGGGAATGGCAGCACTGGGCGGGTGAGGAAGGGGTTGGTGACCCCAGGGAGGCACTAGCCTGGCTGAAGTTGGGGCTTCAGGAAATGTGAGTGACACAACGTAGGCTGAGTCCTGAAGACACCGGGCTGGACAGGTGAGGAGAGGGTTGGCGGGGCCAGTGCGGGGCCAGATCTATAGGACAGCAGGTGTGGCACTCATCTTGCATGGGACTGACGTAGGTTGGATCCCTGGGACCCACATGATCCCCAAAGCCCCACCAGGAATGATACCTGAGTGCAGAGCTAGGAGTAAGCTCTGAGCAGCACCAGGTATGACCACACCCTGCCCCCCCAAAAAAAAAACACCACAAAAGAAGAATATGGGAAAGGCAAAGAGCCAGTGCCTGCCCCGAAGGGTCCCCACCAGCCAAGTCTGAAACAACTGAAGCCATGTAACAGCATGGGCTTGAACTCAGAGCTTGGTCGCAGAGAAAGCGCATATTTTGCAAATGTGAGGGGCCTGGGCTCCATTTCTTTTTTCTTTTTTTTTCTTTTTAGGTCATACCTGGCGATGTTCAGTCGTTCCTCCTGG